TTTCTCGAAAGAAAACATTACTTTTCATTTTTCTTAAATCTTTTCTTTCCGATTTTGCCTTTTTTACCCCCTTTCAGCTCGAAATGTAACATTTTGGCATTCATATACATGGCTGCTTTTAGTCTTTTATTACATATGTTTGACTTGCTAAGCCACAGATCCATCAATTCCGGATACATCTTCTCACATGGTTATTGGTGGATATGTTGTCTTCACGATGGATGATGCTTCAGACCTGAAATAGTTTGTTAAAAGCCAAGTTGTGTTTTTTTAGTAAGATCTTACATGAATCGTATAAAAAAAAAAAAAAAAAAAGAAGAAGAAGAAGAAGAAAAAAACCGGGCTTGAGTTATGCCTGTAATCTAACCTGTAATCCCTCCCAACGCAAAACGATTTGGGAGTTCAACTTGAACCACATATGCTGATAAGTACGCCATCTTATAATTATTGGCGTAAGAATCTTATGATTAGTCGCTGAAAATAAACACTTAAATCATGTAGTATTCATTTAGATGTTAATGAGTCGTAGCAACTTGTTTAAATATATTGAATGTTATGCCGGAAATGTTACGGGTAACGTTTATTGGCGACTTTCTAATATTCATCAACTTATAAAGTCATTTGCTTAGAGCATATTTCTCTAGAAAACAACAATTTCAAAAGCCACAATCGTTACCCAAATGGGGCTAGCCAAAGTTACCCACACAAAAAAGGTCTTAACATTTTGAGTTGAATACTGTACCTGAATCCAATTTTTGTAGCACGGAATTGTAGAAATAAATAAATACTTAACAATCATCTAATAGAAGTAATGTTCGTCGGAAACACTCCAAAGTTAAAGGTGCATCCCCTCATATACGACTACCATTTTTTTTTTTTTTTGGTAATAATGGAAAAGACAAAGTACCTACAAGTACGAACGGGTAGATTTTTGCCATTTTCATAGCAACTAGCCGAGATATACTCCGCGCGATGCGCGGAGAATTATATGCCTGTTATGTAAATGTTAGTATTTCTCCAGGGGTACAGTTGAAGTTCTGTTCGTGTGTATCTATGAGCGCATGTAAGTTCAATCAATCGATGAGACACCTGAACTAAAAAGAAGCACAAAAGAAGAAATATATTGCATAACTAGAGTAAGTAAGAATGATGCAGCCCAATAGTCTGCATCCTCAGTCTCATCCTCAGCCTCATCTTCACCCTGACTCTCGCGCTCACCTCCAGCTGGGTCATCAGCCTGATGCTGACCCGCAACACCTTCGAACATACTCGAAAGAAAGTTACTCGTGTAATGTATCGACTAGCCATCTAGCGAACTCTGCTGAAACCCAGAAAAGTCAATAAAAGAATCTCCAAACTGTCATTGAGAAGTCTGAGGGGAGGAAAACTGAGTGAAGGAAAAATGGGACTGCTGGTGCTGGGGAGACATAATCGGACTGTAAAACGCCTATTGGGTCCGCGAAGAATGATGTAGAGACTGATGGGATGAATGATGTGGAGACTGATGGGATGAATGATATGGAGAATGATGCGGAGACTGATGGGATGAATGCTGTCGAGAATGGAGTGGAGACTGATGTGGAGACTGATGGGATGAACTGCCAGTGAAGGGAATATGAGACTGCTGATGCTGGGAGGACTGATGTGGCTGAGTGGATGTGATTGTCTCTTGCCCCCCACGCCCACGCTGAGACCTGCGCGAACGCCTCGGAGGTCTGGGTGGTGGATGTTGCTGGGTCGGGTCTACAGGCGCAAGTTCTTGACTCAAAATGTCATTAACCTCAACATGCCTATCGAGATCGTGACGTACAACATTCGTTGCATTGACGGACAACGCCCACTCAGCAACCTGGGCAATCTCGCCTAAGCGATCATAACCAAAGGAGTCCGCGTCGAAAGTACGCTGGCCTATAATACTCAGACTACGAACGTCCTCCATCAATGTGGCCTGAAATTGATATTAGGCACACCACGAATTCCATATGGATCGTACAGTTTATCAATAGCAGTCCTGTCAGCAGGTGGATGAGAAAAAGGGCATTCCACAGCATCATGATCTAAACTTCCACATTGTGCACAAACTCTCGCATATGGGCAAGCCCTGGCATTATGGCCCTGTAGCTTACATAAACTGCAAGTTTGGAGTCTTCGCTGGCCAGATTTGCTTGTATAATCCATCAGACCTTTTTTCCGATTCACACGCTTCCGACCCCGGCCAGCATGGTGGACAAGTTTAGTGTCATCTGGCCTGATCTGCCATGTTGCCTTTGGCCATGGTTCTATAATTGGGTTAAATTCTCTAGAAAACTGTTGGTACCATTGCTGCGTAGTGTAACATGGATCAAAAAGTGGGAAGGGTTCGTCACCTAGCTCACGGCCAACTCGAAGTGCATGGGAACAAGGAAATCTGAAAGTCTGCCACCTTCCGCAAGTGCACTCTCGATTTGCATAGAGCACAACTTACTTCTCCTTAGCCTTCCATGGTTGATTATCAGGTGCTATTGTAACCACTTCGTACTTCTGGTTTCTCTTGCTAAACCGGTTGACCTTTTGCCTCAATGATTTCTTCCGGGCCTCTTCATACAGTTTCATTGGCTTAGGAGGTAGAACATTCTGACATTTTTGGATCATATCAATGTTTGCCTGAAACAGATTGTTGCTTTTCTGAAAGGATGCTAGGATCAAAGCTGTGATCGGGAAGAATCTAGCACCTTTCAGCACATTATTGAAACTCTCTGAAATGTTAGTGGTCATTTCTCCCCAACGATATCCTCCATCGTGTAAACATGTCCATTTCTCAACACCCAGATTCTGAAGCCAACGAGCAGCAGGCTCATTTTTTTCTTCTAATTTTTTCCACTCTGCCAAATACCTTGTCTTTTGCGTCGCTGAACCAATCATTTAACAGTTGCCTCCCAGTTTCTCCTTTCGAAAATGCCCAACCAAGTTTGCTTTAACATGCTCTAGACAATACTGGTGGACTCCCATCTCTGGGAAATTTTACAACATGATGTCCATGGCAGTAAAGATACCCTGATTTCGATCAGAGATAATACAGGTCTTCCTATTCTGTAGAACAAACTTTTTCAAATACTTCAAAAACCATTTCCAGCTGTGTATAGTCTCTTCGTCCACAAGAGCAAATGCGATGGGAACAATCGTGCCATTTGCGCACTTTACGCATGCCACAATTAGTTTTCCTTTGTAGGATCCTCGCAGGTGAGTGGCATCGATGGTTATTACTGGCCAGCAAGCATGAAATAACTGTATAGATGACTCAAATGCCCAGAAAACATACCTACATACAAACCTTTGCGAGCTTCCTGAATTTTCCTTAAACTTGAATTGCAGACAAGTGTCCAGGTTTGACATGAACAATGCATCGAGGAAGCTGGGCAGTTGTTGAAAATTACTTTCCCATGTACCATACAGAGCCTCAAGTGCTTTTCTTCTACCATGCCATGCCTTCTTGTAGCTACATTCGACTTGGTACCTCTTCAAAACTTCTATTTGAATTTGGGCAACTGCAAAATCTGGATGTTTTCGCACATTTTGGGCAACCAGTCTAGCAATCATAGAAGACGTGACGTTTCGGGACTCGTTTCTCTTGTTTGCCCCAAGACAGTTGTTGGAATCGGACCATACCACCATTTTCCAAGTATCGGTGGCCTTCTGTAGCGAAACTCGCGCCTTCCATAGGCAATCATAGCCGTGAAGACGCTCTTTCAGATATTTGGGTCCACAGGTCTCGCATTCGACATACCATGTTCGTTTAGAGCTCGTTTTCACCCGGAAAGTCCGACCATGTACCAAGTTCCATTCTCCCACTGCCGCTTGTGCCTCAGGCTTGTTTGCGAAATGTATATCAAGGCCTAGCGTCAATGGATTTTCATCCCACATTTTGATCCCATCACAATCTACTTCCTCTAAAGTCTTGTCCCATCCACTTATGTCGCCGAAAACATATGGGACTGAAGAAGATGACTCAAGATCAGTGTCGTCATCTGAGTCCTCATCCGATGGGACGTACTCATCATCACTGCTTTCGACACCCCCGCCATCTTCATCTTCATCTGCATCTTCATCTTTATCTTCATCTTCATCTCCATCTTCATTGTCTTCAACTGTTCTACCACCACTAGTGTTGGCACCAATATCCTGGCCAGATGTACTTGCATAAACATGGCCTGTTCTCTCAACATTTTCAGGGTATAATTCTGGCCATTTATCAGCACAAAGAAAAATGAACCGAACAGTATTATCATCATTAATGTGCACACGAGACCTTTTTCCTGACCTCTCCGTCCATACCAAAGAAAAATCAATATACAGCCCTTCTCTATCAACTTCCATCATACCACATACCTTATCAACAAGCTCCGAGAAATCTAACATACGATCAATGATAAGATAACCGTCCGGTGCATCCCGCTGTACCGTGATAGTCCTATCAGGTTCAGTTGTATAAGTAGTATTCCAGTATACTTTCAGATGAACTGTCTCCGTGAAAGACATTTGCGGTCTGCAAAATCAATTCCTACGAAATCAGAACACTAGCATACATTTTGAATTTTAGTTTTGCGGAAACAGTATTTACCCCGTTTACAGATTTAATAATTTCAAAAGAACAACTATACGCCTGAATTTACAAATTCATTTCTATGCTAAAAATTAATATTAAATCTAAACCTTATGCCCGAATTACATAATTTATTCTTATGCTAAAAATATTCAAAAATTCAATATCATTATTATAATTTTATTTTATTTTACAGAAATCGATATACAATAATTTACAACGCTCATCTAATTTAACATTCTATTAACTAATATTTCTTTAAATTCAATTTATCAGCCTAATTAAAAAATCACCGTTAATTGACTAAATCGCAATTATTTATTAACTAATAATAATGCGTAAATCATCCTATGCTCACAATAAGGCATAAAAAAGTACATATTTTCTATAACGAAATAAACTTACCTGAATGTTGAAGGAAATGAGAGCTTTCACGGATTCAGGACTCAAATCAATCTTATTTAACTTCGGAGCAACTTCTCAAATTGAAAGAAATGAGAGCTTTTACGGATTCAGTCAAGTCCTCCAGAGTGAAACTTAAAATCAGAGCTCAACAGAATGAAATAAGTTTAGGAAGAAAAATCGGAGCTCAATAGAATGGAAAAAGTTTGCGAAAAAATGCTGTTATTTTGCTTGGTTTGGTATATAAATCTTAAATTTCGCGTTTACAAAATGCGAATACACTCAAGACTTATCATCAAAATACACGTGGAGCCGAATGAGCGGATGAGGAGATTTTCTGGATATTTTCGTGTTTTTAAAACGCTAAAATTATTTTTCGCGCTTTCAAAACGCTAGAAAACTTTTTTCGCGTTTTCAAAACGCTAAGTTGTTATTTTCAAACCGCAATTTATTTAAAATTTAAAATTTATAGCTTTTCGCCTTTTTAAAACGCGAAAATAATTTCTCGCGTTTCTGAAACACTATTTACGTTTTTTGCGTTTCTAAAACGCGAAAAATGGTTTTCCTTTTTTAATTTAATTTTTTTTCTCCTTTCGTCCCGGTTGAATTTGGGGAAAACATGATTAAAATGATTTGCGTTTCACAAACGCGAATTGTTAATCTAATTTTCTTGTTTTGCATTTTGAAAGCGCGAAAACATTATATTTGTCCACAAAATAAACTCTACACATTTTTTGTTCCACAATTTTGGGTTTGACTCACCTAAAAGTCAAGCACCCCCTCCGCCACCCCCAAAAGTCAAACCTCCTCCGCCACCTAAGAAACCTAAACCTCCTCCACCACCGAAGAAACCTAAATCTCCTCCACCACCACCTCCTATAGTGGTGTCGGTAACTCCCCCACCACCGCCTCCAACACTTCCTCCTCCTCCTCCTCCTCCTACTTCTCCACCACCACCGCCACCCTATACAGCTCCTCCCCCTCCACCATCACCATCACCTCCTCCGCCACTGCCACCATCACCACCACCACCCTATACACCGCCTCCCCCACCACCTACAGCTGAAAGTCCTTCGCCGCTACCTTATAATCCTGAAACTCCTTTGACGCCGGCTCCTAGTCCGGAAACTCTACCACCGCCACTGCCACCTCCCCCTGTTACTCCTCCTCCGCCACCCCCTCCTCCTCCGGAAACTCTACCACCACCTCCCCCTGTTACTCTCCACCGCCGTCCCCACCTCCTCCGCCGCCGCCACCTACTTGCCCAGATGATCCCATGGTTTTCAAACCGTGTGAACGCGTCATTCTATCTATTGCTGAACCCAGAGGTCCATGCTGCTCAGTTTTTAAAGACCTTCCAGATTCTGAAGCAGCTAAATGCATTTGCAATGCCGCAAGCAAAGGAGCTTTTAACAATGTTCCCATTCCCCGTGATGACAACACTCCTTTCCCCAAAACGCTCTTTGGTCAGTGTGGAAGGAAGTTCCTGACGGGTTTTAAATGTTCTTGAAACAGTCTTAATTAAGACCAAATTTTGAGGGATAGTTTGTATATTTTTTAAACTTCGTTTGAAAAGGAAATGCATTTGGGTTGGGTATCGATCTTTCTATTGTATACATCTTGTGCATGCATGCATGCAGACTCGCGAAAACAAGCGTTTCCTTAACAAGTATGTTGACTTTCATTTTTATTTTTTATTTTTGTTTTGTTTTCGATTTTATACGTTAATACGGAGACTATTGAGATTTGTTCGTTTTAAGAGTAAAACTTACAGTCTATCTTTCTGCTCGAGAGGTTAGGCTCAAGTATATAAAGATACAAAGAACCCGTAGGTTATATTGTATTGATCAATGTTTGCAGGATCGTGATCCTACGTAAGATCAAAATGGAGTCATAGGGTCGGATCGTAAACGGGATTGGTAGGATCGGAATAGTAGGATTGTAAAAATAATTATTCATGTTATATAATTAATTTCTTTGATAATTAAGTTTCAATTATTTTTATACAAAGTATTTAACAGCTAAACAAGAAAATTGTGTAAATTCAATTTTATTATATGAATTTTTTCATAATTTTTTAAGAAAAACTCTTCTCTTATAGTTCTTCTTTTCATTTTATTAGAATAACTTTCTAAAATATATTTTTCTTAGCAATAAAAGTTTTCTCAAAGAATATTTACCTCAATTTAATGTGAACCAAAAGAAGTAAGAGAAAAGAAAAATCTCAATAAGCTCAATTAATTTTTCGTAATTGATGAATAGTAAACTCGGACTGATCCTACGATCATGACCGATCCTGTACGATGCTAACCGATCATGACCGATCCCACTCCAATCCCATTACAAAATTCGAGTTTGATCGATTCAGGATCGATTTAGGTACCTGGAATCGTAGAATCATCCGATCCTACGATCCAGGATCGAGAGTTTGCAAATTATGGTATTGATACAATATATTTATACTGTATAGGGTTACAATAAGATTACAACAATATCCTAGACTAATCCTAATACATATACTAACAGTATATACATAATCTACCTTGTAAAGTAATGCTGTAATGAATTGTGATACTTCATATCTCATAATTATAATCAATTTGTATCAACTTATCATGAGATTAATCTACTGATTAATTCGTAAATTGATATTTCGAATTAATCGCCTATGATCGCATAATAGAATCATCAATATGTTTGATGGTCATCATCAACCGATTGATCAATATATTTGAGAATTTTCGTAGAACAATATGTAATTAAATCGTTGGATTTGTCAACTTTGCAAGCTCTTTTCAGGGGTAGCCAGTTAACTTTCGTTTATAGGAAAACCCAGGCAAGACATGAAACCACAATTTTATCGTATTTTTCTATCTAAGCTAGAGTGAGATATGGTCCAAGTGAGTAAATATGAGAAGAGGTTGTAAGGCAGAAAATTTATTTGTCCGTAAGATTGATTGCGTTACTAATCGACGGTGCAAACTTAATATGGAATTACTGAATTTCTTTGGCGTTCAGAGCTGTTGTTGTTCTAGGACTGTGGATTCTAATGGCCAAAAAAACTTAATTTTGGGTTTTTACTGCCTAAGATGGAATAAAGAATTTCTCAAGGCCATATGGGTCAAAACGCCAAAAGTTATACACGTTAATCGTGACTCAGTGAAAGAGAAATTAATTAAATGCTTGAATTATTACTGTTAATTTATTTATAGTGACCATATATATTGAAAATATGCAGCAATTAAAATTGATGAAATTAGAATGTGTACAAACATCACTAAGGAATTTGTTGTTCTTTAAGAACATGTTGAATCTTATATATATACAACTATACATGCTATTGAAGAAATAATTATTGGAAATTTTGTCACTTCAATTAAAAAGGATCAAACGGGTAGATGAGGATTAAAGAAAAATTGAACAGATTGTAGTCTTAGGGCCTGTTTGATAAAAATTAGTACTTAATTCTGAATACTTAATACTGAAGTAGAAATAATGAATTCATGAAGTAATTACGGAATAATTAATAAACTAACTTTTATTGCTTATATTTTAGTTCATCTTTTGTTATCAAACATGCTGAAATGATTAAATGCTTAATCCAATAATTTCAAACATTAAATGTCTTTATCAAACATGCCCTTAGTATATATCTATTTACAATTAGTTCATGCTTCTTGTCCAAAAAAAAGAAACTGTTCGTGATATTCTAGCATTTGGCAGGTGATTGAATTCTCATTGGATCTGCACTTGCATGTTAATTACTAGGTTACTTAGTCCTAAACATCATAGAAAGAATTAATTAGCACTTGTAAATCATCCACTAAGCATCGGCATCACATGAAAACAATATAATTAACTGACACTTAAAACAAGTTGATAAGAAAATAAAAGATAAAAACTTCCGCTTGAGCTGTTAGTAGAATGATTTACTTCACGGTGAAAAAATTGTGACGAGCATGTCAACGCTAGTGGGATTAGCTAGACTAAAAGTAACGACCTCCAACCGGGGTTGACTTTTTCTGCGCTCGTTCATAACCTTGGTTATATTAAATATAACTTGGAATTGAAACGATAAGACAAGTTTATTACATAATATTAACGTAGTATGTCAACGCTTTTCTTAAGAAAAAAAAAAGAAAAGAGAAAAGGAAATGGATTAAGCCACTAGACACTCCAAAATCAAGGTTTTGACTTTTGACTTTGGCAATGCCAGCTACTGTGGAATCTCACCGATCTATCAATTCCGATGATCACGTCTCCGATCACATGGCATTGAGCTGTTAATTTGTTACTGTATTTTAATTATGCTCGCTACCAAGTAGAAATGTTGTTTAAAGCCCTGTTGGATTATGGGTCGCCAAGTAAGTGAACTTAGAAAGGAGACTAAATCTATTCGTTTTTGCACCAATTTTGGGGGTTGAAAAACTATAAAACCCTCCCAACTAAACACAAAACTTTACATAGTCAACAGCAATCTTGGGACACTATCAATGGGTTCCAAGGTGGCAACTTACCTTGCCCTATTTCTTCTTCTTAACCTTATAGTTTTCACTCTAGTAAGTGCACGTTTGGAGTCAGATGACCCAAAGCACAAACACAAGCCCAAGCATCGTCATAAGCATAAGAAGCATCACCACCAATCTCCCCCACCACCTCCGCCTCTACCTCCCCCTCCGCCTCCTCCACCTCCACCTCCACCAAAGCATAAATCTCCTCCGCCGCCTCCTCCCAAACATAAACCTCCACCGCCACCTCCTCCAAAGCATAAATCTCCTCCGCCGCCTCCTCCCAAACATAAACCTCCACCGCCACCTCCTCCAAAGCATAAATCTCCTCCGCCGCCTCCTCCCAAACATAAATCTCCACCGCCACCTCCTCCAAAGCATAAATCTCCTCCGCCGCCTCCTCCCAAACATAAATCTCCACCGCCACCTCCAAAGCATAAATCTCCTCCGCCGCCTCCTCCCAAACATAAGTCTCCACCGCCACCTCCAAAACATAAATGTCCACCATCTCCACCTCCCCCTACACCAGTAACTCCTCCTCCGCCACCTCCTAAAACTCCTCCTCCCCCTCCTCCCACACCTATAATTCCTCCACCACCACCGCCGACAACTCCTCCTCCACCTCCTACACCAGTTACCCCTCCTCCGCCACCTCCAAAAACTCCTCCTCCCCCTCCTCCTACACCAGTAACCCCTCCTCCCCCACCCCCCTATACACCCCCCCCTCCACCACCTACACCTGTAACTCCTCCGCCACCTCCACCACCACCTCCTACGCCAGCCAATCCTCCACCTCCCCCTCCTCCTACACCAGTAACCCCTCCTCCCCCACCCCCCTATACACCTCCCCCTCCACCACCTACACCTGTAACTCCTCCGCCACCTCCACCACCACCTCCACCACCACCTCCTACGCCAGCCAATCCTCCACCTCCCCCTCCTCCTACACCAGTAACCCCTCCTCCCCCACCCCCTATACACCTCCCCCTCCACCACCTACACCTGTAACTCCTCCGCCACCTCCACCACCACCTCCTACGCCAGCCAATCCTCCACCTCCCCCTCCTACTCCGGTAACTCCTCCACCGCCACCACCTACACCTGTCACTCCTCCACCGCCACCTCCTACACCTGCCAATCCTCCACCTCCCCCACCTACTCCGGTAACTCCTCCACCGCCACCACCTACACCTGTAACTCCACCACCACCTCCTACACCGGCAAATCCTCCACCTTCCCCTCCTACTCCGGTAACTCCTCCACCACCACCCCCACCAACTCCATCGCCGCCACCTCCTCCTGCAACCCCTCCACCGCCGCCTCCGATGACTTGTCCAGCGGATCCGTCAGATTTCAAACCATGTGAACGAGTCATTTTATCGCCTGCTGAACCAAGAGGTCCATGCTGCTATATTTTTAGTGGGCTTTCAGACCTTGATGCAGCCAACTGCCTTTGCACCGCTGCAGACAACGGAGCTTTTAAAAATGTTAACATTCCACATGACGGAAATGAACCTTATGTGATTACGCTCTTCGGTCAGTGTTCAAGGACATATCCAAAGGGATTCTTTTGCAATAGTATTAGAGCTTGATTTTCCATTATTCGCCTCAGTTTTTTTTTCCCCACAAATTTGGTTGTCTTTATTTCAATTTTATTCAAAGGTGCAGAATCCAAACTTATTAAAATGAAGAAAGCAGAGTTCTCTTGCATCCTCATTCGAATAATGAGACCAAATTTTCGAAAGGAATGTTTATATATGTACCTTTTGAAGCTTCATCTGGAAAGGGATGTTTTTGGGTTAGACATTAATATTGTATATCTAGATCTTCTGCATGCATGCAGACGGATTGGAGTGAAAAAGACCTAGTTATGTGTTTTCAAGTTTATTTGTTTCTTTTATTGTGTTAAAAACATACAGTTTTCATCTTTAAGTTTTAATTGCAAACTAATCTTTCTTTATCAAGAGATAAGGCTTGTGTTATTCCCTGTGTTTTATTATACATGAAGTTGATTGGTTTTGTTGTTGCGCTGGAATAAATTTTTTGTTGCAACATTAGTGATTATTATTACCACTTTTTACCAATTTATTACGTGTTTTATCTACTGCTCGTGTGTCTTGTTTAATTCGTTTGACTGAAAATCCCAAATGTAGCAAAAAGAGAAATCATCCCAAATTTTAGAATAATTTCGTGAAGTTGGAAATTTAGTGGTTTTGAAACCTAGCTAGTCATAAAAATTTCATGCTCATCTTCAATTTATAGGTAATAGGAAAAACCCGGAATCAATTCTATGAAGAGGAAATTACGAAAAGCGATCCCTACAAACTGTGTTTTTGGATTGAATCATAAGTATTAACAAAATTTCAGGATATACATTTAATTAAGAACCGAATGAAATGTAGGAAATTCCAAACAAAAAAAAATTTGCGTGCAAATTAAAGCTTCCAGCTACAATCATAAATAATTAATTCAGTTCAGCATGCCTGGAACTTGTGCTCTTTTGTGTGTATTCCTTCTGTCTCAAGAAAATAAGTCAAATAATCGTATTTGTAGATTTATAATAAATCTTTAATACAAATCTACAAACTCAACGCGTATTTTTTTTTTCATCAGAGGAAGTAACATTTTGTGATGTATATATGGCTAGCTAGTTCGTGTTTCACATTGCTAAGCCAGTATCATGGCTAGCTATCTCATAGATCCACACCAATTTTATCATCTTTTTACATGGTTCTTACTGGTTATATTCTCTTCACCGTGGATGCGATCAGGCGTAAAATAGTTGTTAAAAGCCAAATTGTAAGTTTTATAAAGATTTTACATACACGATGAACTATATAAATAGGTTGACCTGGTGAAGTCTGGAACCCGAGTAGTGGAAGAGAAAATACCCGGTCCTCTCAAATGCCAACGTGCATGTCAGTATTGGACTTCTTCCCTGAATCTTGAGAAGTGCCATACATATTTTACTTCTTCCTCTAGACCAACTGGCATCTCTTGATCTTTCACTTCATTCATATTGTTATCCGTGATGATCACATATGCACGTTGTAAATTTCCCATCAATCTAAGAAGTCTAATTCGTTAAATTAAAATGAAACACAATAAACTAGTAATTAATAACATCATTAACAAATTAAACTATTACAATAAGATAGAGAGAGTATAGTTTTCGTGGTCAGGTGGTCAATTTGATGTTGTGTCAAATCCTGAAAAAGTTGAGACAAAATTCATCAGTTTTCTAAAATAGCGTATCACGGTGCTAGTAAAATTAAATGTACGTAGTTAAACCATTAGAGTTATCTAATTTACATGAACACTCTAGTTTAATGTTACGTTATTTTTGCATAGGTCAGATAACTCTGTCATCGGGGATCAGTATTCTCCCGGAGGGGGGAGAGTGCCGAATAGGGATTCCCAAATGAGAAGAAGACCAATCATTGGAAATTGCAAAGTGATTCTTTTCGTCAGAGCCACAGTCTTAACTAATTCAAATCTATACCAAATAAATGAATTTCGAGGGATAAGAAACTTTTAAAAATCATAGAACTACATTTTGTTTTTAATCATTAAATTACATGTTCATCTACTAAGTAGGAAAAAAAGCCCAGGAATATCCTCAATTAAGAAGAAGAGAATTGATTCCTTAAATGGCAAAGTCAAACTATTTTGAAGAGTATAATTTTGTAACAAATTTAGCCACAAGAAACATTAACAGCATTTTAACATGAGTAACTGATACAAAATTCAATGATAAGAGATTTGTCGCAAGTTACGTTTTTTTTTTTTAAACAAAAACAATTTTATAAATGGAAAAATAGGGCAGCGAATATAGTAAACCCTATAGCAAGTACAATTTTAATCATAAAGTAAAATTTTAATTCTTATTCAATCTAGCTGACCGACGAACTTGAATTTTTTTTATTTTTTGTCTTGGCTTTTTTTGAGTGATTATGATATGTTGGAACAGAAACTTCATTGTATAAAGACTCTCGTTCCAATTCACGTTCCAGGTCGAAATCTTCATCCTCTGAATCATTAAAAGCATGATTTTGTTAACCCTCAGAATGAATTTGATCAATTGAGAAACCTGTTTCTGACGAGTCTATATGCTTCCCTACCTTCGCATCATCTTTGAATAAGTACTGACTGTGATTTATTCCAGTGATTGGGCCTGAAATTGGTAACAATACATGGAGAATAGGGATTTGTGGGCTAGATGGATAGGAGAATTCTGCAGCAGCAGGATTTAGTTTTTTGTTGATCTTTTTTGAGAACTATTTTCGGAGAAATTCCCTTCATTATTAGATGGAGAGATTTGTGGAGAGCTTGAAATTGGGGCTACGGGGTTTAAATTCTGAATAGGACTATTAAAAGAGGTTTCTGAATATGAAGATACTCCTTTTTTGGGGGGGATAAGATTGAGGTGTTGAGGATTCCGTATTTGACTTTTCCACATTTGAAATTTGAAGATCCTGAGGAGCACTTGTTGATTGCGCAATTGGGGCAAAAATCTCGAGAGTTAGCTGCGCAGAAGACGGCCGTAAAAACTGCAACTCCCCTTCTGGAATTTCCTTCGGCAAATCCCGCCGGTCATCCCCTTCCGGTGGCTTAGACTGTTGACCATGACTGGCGGCTGTTTTCAGAGTCATCGGAGATAATGATAGGCGTTGATTATTGGCAGCAGCAACATGAGGGACAACTAAATCTCGCTGATTTGGGGAAGTGAGGGTTTGCGCAACAACAACTTCAATAGAGCACAGCAACCAGATTCGAAGCGGGGATTGATTGGCAATTCTCCGTGACAGCAACAAAATTAGCAGAGATGCACTGGTCTGCAGTAGTAGCAACTTCAGAAGCAACAATTGCTTGCGCTACCTGGTGGCGCGACTCCTTCAGCAACGACATTCTGCGCCAGGGAGACGACGGGCTGAATCAGCAAATCGCTCCCCGCAATCATTGATTCTGCTGAAGCTTTTCCCTGATCCGTAGGTTGATTGGCAAAGGCATTTTTCTCCCGATTTCGGCATGGTTGGTGGCTGCGCAATTGATGGCAGTCTAGGCGATTGATTATCCTCCATTCGCTGTTGTAATTGATGTTTGACAGAATGGTTTGAACCCGGCATGAGTAGATGAACTTTGGAGCTATGCATTTCCTCCACAGCATTCATTCGTTGCTTTAACAAAAGAGGCAGCGCAACTGATGAATCCGCTAAAGCCTTATCCTGTGCTGGGTGCGACTTCTCCAAGGGCTACAGTACTGTTCGGATCCCAGATGTTTGTTTTTCTTGTTCTGGCTGTTTGGATTGTAGGGTTGGTGCGAATCCCCTTTTTGCGACGATAAATGTTGACAAATATGGATATCATGACCAATCTTTCTACAGCCGACACAATATTGGGGCATGTTCTCGTAAAAAATTGATTGAAAGTAAGACTTCCCTTCAACCCTCAGTCTGATTTGAATGGGATGCTCCTTGAGGAGGTCTATCTCGACACAAACGCGAGCTACCAAAGGTCGGGACATATTGAGGATTGGCACATCAATTTGGAGTGGAGTCCCTATGATGCTAGCAAGTTTCCATAAGTAATCTTTGTTGGAACGATGAATGGGAAGTACTTCTAAAGAGATCCAAACTGGAACAGTGGAACTTTCGTGTGCAGGATTAAAATCAGTGGTCCATTTTAGGACTCTCATCTGATACTTGTCAAAGGTCCACAACCCTTTTAGCCTACAGCGATGAAAATCCTCCTCTAGATCGAAACATATGAGGACATGTCAGTAGTCAATCGATCCAATAAAAAAGTTTACTTTAAAACCAATTATTTGGAATTCTCTCCGCAGATATTCCATCTTTGGCCGACCTTTGGAGAATTTACCGACTAGTGTAAGTTGAAATGGGGCTGTCAATTATTCATTTTCTTCTTTTTAAGAAGAAATGTTGGCCCTCCTTTGAATACTGTTGGTTTTGAGTGTATCACGGTAGGGTTAGAGTTTGATTTTGGGTGGAATGATTGTGTATTGTTTTTGAGTTTGAATGAAATTGTAAAATCTAAGCAAAGGAAGGCCGTTGAGGTGGTGTTGGCCCTAAGGCCGACGGCGGATCACCGGCCATGGGAGGGAAGATAGAGAGAGGTCAGAGCTATCGCAAGTTACTTATTACAAATAGAACCGGTCAAATGCATGGAAGTACTCCGAACTCAAAAACGGCATGCAGTAATGATTTTCAAGTTCACAAGTTGAATCTAGCCACAAATACACCGAATCAATTCCAAAATCCATCATTTAACATGGCCTTTTTCAGCTCCATTTTTTCCCATTCTTCATGCATGCATTAGATGCAATTCACAAGCACGAACTTCTGTGCATCTTTGGCTGAGCCATTTTGTTATAAAAATACGTTAGAACCCGAAAAGGAAACCTCTTACCAAAAAAAAATTTAAATAACAAAAAACAAAGTTCAAGGATGACAAAAGAAGAATTAAGATTGTTCTAGTCTTTTTAAGCACATTGGAAATCTTTTGGAAATTCCTTGCCACACTCATTAAAGATCTGGCTAATGTCAACTGTTGGAACTACAGACTTAACAAAGTCGAAAATTCTCGACTTGACACCACTACAAACACAAGCAGCAGCATCAAGGTTTGAAAGGCCTTCGATAAGGGGGCAGCATTGTTGTTTTAGAAGAGGAGATCCAACGGCGATCCTTGCACTAGCTATATAAGCACACACTCCGAGTTTCACTAGATTATCTCCAACTGGGCAAGTTGTAATAGGGCTAGAAGGCGGAGGAGGAGGCGGTGGGGGAGGAGGAGGCGGCGGGAAAGGTGGTGGCGGGAAAGTTGTAGGTGGTGGTGGAGGAGTTGTAGGTGTAGGAGGTGGAGGAGAAGGCGGTGTAGGAGGTGGTGGAGAAGGCGGTGGTGATGGAGGTGGCGGCGGAGTTTTTGATTTAGGTGGTGGTGGGGGACTTTTATGTTTAGGGGGAGGCGGCGGAGGACTCTTATGTTTTGGAGGTGGCGGAGGAGATTTGTGTTTCGGAGGCGGTGGGGGAGGTTTTTCCGGACATTTAGGTTTAGGCTTAGGTTTTGACTTTGTTTTTTTACATTCCTCATCACATGCATAGACAAGAGTGAAACATAGAATGTTTAGGAGAAGGACGAAAGCTAAGATTTTGATGCTGCTCTCGGAAGCCATTTTTGTAGTTTTGACTTCAATGAAATGGAAGGTTTTTTCTTTGCTTTTTGGATGGAACGATCTGTAGCAAAAGTGAGGGTCTTTATAGTGAGAAAATGAGAGCCATGTATGTGAATATGGTGGAAGACGATGAATGCTACTATCCAGTCTCAAAAAAATAATCTAATTTAAAAAATTAAAATAAAAATTAAGTGACTTTAACTTACAAATTAAAACAAAAAATTCATGACTATTTATTAATTTAATAATCAATTATAAGATATAGCAATCTTATAAGTTTAATTTTAAGATTTACATTTCTTAAATTCGATTTTTTTTAGGGACAGAAGTAGTATTAATTAAAACATATTTGTTGGTTCAGTAGTTACTTCAATTTGCTTTGCCGATTTGCGTTGACTGCCGACATAGAAACACGGGGACACCAATTCGTATGCATGTGGATAACTGCAAATTTGCTATCTTTTGAAAGTCAAGGCCTAAAACAAATTTTTATAGACAAAAGTCAGATACACCATAATTGGGTTTAACGACATTTTTTCGGATTGATTTTGGACGTGCATCTCTAACTAGCTCCTTCCGTTGGTTATTACTATACAGTATAGTACATAATACATATCCGTTCCAAAACCACTATTCCATTTCTATACATTTTCTCAAAATAAAGCATTACTTTTCATTTTTCTTAAATCTTTTCTTTCCGATTTTGCCTTTTTTTTCCGCCTTTCAGCTCGAAATGTAACATTTTGGCATTCATATATATGGCTGCTTTTAGTCTTTTATTACATATGTTTGACTTTGCTAAGCCACAGATCCATCAATTCCGGATACATCTTCTCACATGGTTATTGGTGGATATGTTGTCTTCACGATGGATGATGCTTCAGACCTGAAATAGTTTGTTAAAAGCCAAGTTGTGTTTTTTTAGTAAGATCTTACATGAATCGTATAAAAAAAAAAAAGAAGAAGAAGAAGAAAAAAACCGGGCTTGAGTTATGCCTGTAATCTAACCTGTAATCCCTCCCAACGCAAAACGATTTGGGAGTTCAACTTGAACCACATATGCTGATAAGTACGCCATCTTATAATTATTGGCGTAAGAATCTTATGATTAGTTGCTGAAAATAAACACTTAAATCATGTAGTATTCATTTAGATGTTAATGAGTCGTAGCAACTTGTTTAAATATATAGAATGTTATGCCGGAAATGTTACGGGTAACGTTTATTGGCGACTTTCTAATATTCATCAACTTATAAAGTGTTTGTTTGTCAAATAACTCATTTTTCATTTTCACTTATTTTACTTCTTAAGCACAAAATCTAATGAAAAAAAAAATATCATCCAAACAACTTTTTGATTTACCTTTTAAATGTTTGGTCATTACACTATTGTAAAGTCTTCGTTTCGGTCACTGAACTATTGTAAAGTCTTCATTGCGTTTGGTTACTAAATTATTGTAAAGTGTTGCGTTTGGTCGCTGAACTATTGTAAAGTCTTGTGTTTGGTCGTTATACTATAGTAAAATCTTTATTTTGGTCGCCGAACTATTTTAATTTCATAAATGATCATTATACTGTAATATTTTTTAAATAAAAAAACTAAACTACCTTTTAAATCTCCTGTCAAATCCAAATAAAAAACTAAAATAAAACGTTGTCGAAACAAGCACAAAATCATTTGCTTAGAGGATATTTCTCTAGAAAACAACAATTTCAAAAGCCACAATCGTTACCCAAATGGGGCTAGCCAAAGTTACCCACACAAAAAAGGTCTTAACATTGTGAGTTGAATACTGTACCTGAATCCAATTTTAGTACTATAGCCTTTTCTTTAGAACAAAAATTTTTGTAGCACGGAATTGTAGAAATAAATAAATAATTAACAATCATCTAATAGAAGTAATGTTTGTCGGAAACACTCCAAAGTTAAAGGTGCATCCTCATATACGACTACCATTTTGTTTTTTTTTTGGTAATAATGAAAAAGACAAATTACCTACCAGTACGAACGGGTAGATTTTTGACATTTTCATAGCAATGAGGTTGAATTTGAGCATTTCTAGTAGAATGTTTATGATTAATTGTTGGTATCATGGGCTTCTCAGCAATCTGTATTGAGACTTAACTCGTTTCCTACCTTGAAATAGCAGGCCGAATTGAACCAAGCCTACTGTTAGCCCCCTAAAAATTTTTCTCGGTAACACACGCCTTGGAGGCTGAGGCCGGGCGTGCAGACGGGCGGATGTGAGTTCCTGCCCAAGGCACTTGAGTAGTGCAACGGCCCTTATGCGGGAATGCGGGATAATCATGCGAGACGGTTAAGTGGGAACCCGAGCTGAGATAAACAACATTGCAGCACGGCCCCCGAGTGCAACCTGGAGATGAGGTTTGCCGGAAGTAGCTGGGAGCTTCTAGAACCGCGGGACCCGTTTGGTGGACCCGTTTGGTACACTGTGGACAAATGCATGTCAGCCAAGGTGTAGGCTTGCATGTTAGAGTTGCTGCCAAGATGTGCCAATGCATGTTGTAGCTTTGTCGACCAATGAATGTAGGTCATTTGTTGTAATGCATGCAAGGGTATTCCCTCCCCATTCTTGTATAAATAGGGGGCCTTGGCTCATTTGAAGGCAGAGAGAGTTGAGTTGTAAGCCTTCTTGAGTTTAAGAGCCTTTCCTTGTGTTTGAGTAATAATACAAGGTTGAGCTGGGTTTCGGCTTGTTTTCCTCGAGTCCCTTTTATTTCCGTTTCTGCCTTGTCCCTAGTTTTCTCAGTCACGTCCCCTGGTTTTCTCGGGTAGCCGGGCTGTCCCGAGTTTACCGAGTTTTCTCGGTCCCGTTTGGTTACCGGTTAACGTTTCCTTGCATTCCTCGGTAAGGTGCGTGCTTACCCGAGTTTTGCTGCATTTCTCGGTTAGCTGAGTGCTTGTGCCGGGACCTTGCTGCTTTTCTCGGTAAAGCCGGTTGCCTGCCCTGAGTTCGCTACGTTTCTCGGTCAAGCTGGTTGCTTGTTCCGGGCACTCTGATTGCCGGGTCTTGCTGTATGCTTTTCCCGGGTTAAGGTGTTTGGTTGCCCCGGGTCTTCTTGTGCGGAGAAAGAGGGCCGGTGACACCTACCATCCCAAAACCATGAGAAAGTGTCCAAGATTAGTGGATTAGAAAGTGTCCGAATTGAACAAAGCCGAGCTGCATTTTCTTTGCTTCTTCTTCGTTTTTTTCCCTCGTAGTAAAGAACGTTCAATTCAATTTATAATCAAACAAGTATAAATAGTTTTATGTCCACAAACCTTTTTAGAAATTAATTATGGTCTCCTAATAACAGCCATGCTGTGCTAAAATTTAGGAATTTGGAAGAACTATGAACGTTTTGAATAGATCCAATCCAATATATCATATAAACCAAAATAATCTGCTAGACTTGGGGATCCACGGCTTTGTTCATTCTGAAAACTGAATCTATTCTATAAGGCCTTCCCTAGGATTTGAGAGATTCTATCCATTAAAATAAACTAAAGTGCCTAGTCCATTCAGAATTTTCTTGATCCAATAAAAAGAGGAGGGATATCCCATAAGATTTCCCGACACTGAATCTGCCTTGGTTTCTGCAGCCCAAAGGCTACTTCTCGCTTCAGTGATGTTTGGGCCCTGTTGAGACATCTAAAACAAACACGGTCCACTATATTTATCAAAAACTTTTTCTCTTTTCGTCTATTTTTACAATTGTCAATGATTATTCTTCTTGGACAGAGATAAGAGTTTTTTTTTTTTATGTGATACAGGAAAAATTCTTTCAAGCAGAGTGGATTCGGGTCTATTCTGAGGATCTTCTATTATAACCATTAGGCCACATTTATAATGTTGTGATACACAAATGATCATACAAGCTAGTAAATTGTTAAATTAACTGAAAACATGTAACACACAGATAAAAGGAGAATTTGAAGATTAAGTGTCAGGGTTGGTGTATATATAATCTTCGAACCCAAATATCTTGTGAGTCCAAGGCTCCAAGCTGCTCGTCATCTTGAGGCATTTTTTTTTCCTCTGATATAATGGTCAAATACTTGCTAAAATTCCTCGTACAAACGCCAATGCACGTTGTTCAAGCGTTAAAGTAGTAGATTAAAGTATATTTGTCTTAAACTGATACTCCCTCCGTCCCATAATTATTGTCCAGTTTTACTAAAATGAAAGATTTTATTTTTGGTCAAACATAACTATATTTTACCTTAAACAACCGGGTATACCCTTACATAAGTAATTATTTAACCACTAAGATTTTATGAATAATGTTTTTTACTAAGGACAAATGTGTAACTTGATCTATAAAAAGTCAAATTGGACAATAATTTTGGGACAAATTTTTTTTGGCAAAGTGGAAAATAATTATGGAACGGAGGGAGTAATAATCATGCACAAAATCGGCATGTTCATCGTTGACCAGTTACGGAAAGAAGTCAAATGTTGTATCCTGATGGGTAACGATTTTCTTAACTGCTTATATGATTTGTACAGGTAAGAGAAGAGTAAATACTACAATATAACTCATCAACCGGATGGCTGATTTTAACAATTTTGTACTGACAACTATGTATGATTTTCAAGATTTTTTGTTCAGATTCCTTCTTCCCATATGACAGGTTTTCAAGATATAGTAATGTTTTCTCCACTACTCCGCATGCTTCCATATGGCAGCAAAACGTCAAAATTGCGGTTTCCCAAAGGTCATAAGATATCAAAAACAAAATGACCATTTCTCCAATCGTTTAAAACCTTCGTTACACTTTTTTTTTTTTTTTTTGTAAAATCTTCGTTACACTTGTAATCCGTTATTTCTTATTAGGATTCGTTTTCCATTTTGCTAGTGGATTAGCGTTAAATATATGCGTCAGGTATTTAACTAGTAGGAGTATCATATAAAGTGTATCACATGTATGCAAATGATCCGATCCGCCTCCGACCAACATTAATTTGGAGTTCGTACATTGATCATTTCCAAATCATAATCATCTTCAGCTGAAACAATTCAATAGAAAAGTACAAACTTGCTTGAAATCGGAACTCAGAAGAGCAAATTAAGAATTGTTTGCTTCCCAATTAAATTGGATTATTATTAAGCACTGAGAATCAATAGGGAATAAATTCTCACAATAGAGAACAAGAAGTATCATTGCAATTGTTACAAAGTTGCATGCATATTACATTATAATACATCCGGTCAAAATAATTCATAAAAGTACTCCATAGTCCAAACCCTAATAAACATACATATGCAATCGCTTGACTGGTAACTGAAGTTGCAAAGTCAAACCAATACTCATAGATTATACTGCCTGCAGCCTGCATGCATAACTTCAGAAAAGGTTTCAAAATGTTCATGAAGAAATGCCCTCCATCATCTAATCACATTCGAACTGTTCTTCGATTTATCAAGCTTGGACATTTCAAAGGGTCCGGGGAACAAAACGTAGGAAAAATAAATAGTCAAACGGAAAAATCAACATGAAAATTTTGAAAAAATTGGAAAACATACAGCAAGAAGAAACAACTTCTTAAGATGAAAAAAAAAAGGTTCAATTGATTATTGTCCTAATAAGAGCAATACTGGAACTTCTCCGGGCAAGTCCTGTGACACCGCCCGAAGATCGGATTAATGTTAACTGGAAGAGTTAAGTTGATAATGCCGGGAACTTTGACCTTGACGGCATTGCAAAGGCAAGCAGCAGCATCAGGGTCAGCAAGATCATCAAGAAGCGGGCAACATTGAGCTTCAGAAAATAATCCGATGTTGATGATCCCAGCAAGATTAAGCAAACCAAGACATGGGTTTAGATCTAGGGTAATTGGGCAAGTCGCTTTAGGAGATTCAGGTGGAGGAGGAGGAGGAGGAGAAGCTGGCTTTGGGGATTTAGTTTTAGGAGATTTAGGTTTGGGAGAAGGTTTAGGACATTTAGGCTTCTTTGGCTTTGGCTTTGGCTTTGGGCATTCATCACATGCACTGACAAGGGAGAAAAATACAAGGTTTAGGAGAAGCAAAAAAGCTAAGAATTTGATGCTCTTGGAACCCATTTTCAGCTCTGAATCCTAGCAAGAGATTACCAGCTGTATATTATGTTTTGCTTTTTTGTATAGGCAGTAAAGGAAGGTGAGAAAAGTGAAGTATAGCTAGGTTTTTGGTTTTAATTGCTTTGGATGAAAAGATTAGAAGTAAGGTGGAGGGGTTTTATAGTGAGCAGTTAAGGATCATGTTGTAAATGTTTTTACATGACATGGCTAAGGGTATTAATTTGAGTTGGCATGCATTATGGGAAAACATGGAATCAAAATCCACATTAATTTTGGATTCTTGCATGTGAGGGGATCATCAGGATGATTCCAAGTTGCAAAATTCTAACGACCTCGATGGCTGGATCACTTATAAGGTTATAACATTCTTTTGAATGAGGATAACCACAATTCTCTCACAAATAATCCCGTTGGTTCAGGTTTGAGAGAAGATGAGGTGAAGTCAAACTCTCCACAATCCTCAAATAAAGAAGAAATATCTTCAACAAATATCTCCAGTCAAAAGTTAAATTCTGAGACTCCATAATTTATCATCTCTCATCAGCCAGAAATTACTCTTCTAGAGGTTTTACTGTCAATTACGGCTCCAAAAACGTACTTCTCCAAGGATGATATTGAGATAAGAAAGAATACCGAGACTTTTAATTCAAGTTATTCGATTGAAGAAATAAATTCTGAAGGTGGACTAAATCATGCGTCCAAGGGTTCTGATGATGACAATTTCAATATGGAATATGCGATGGAACAAGAATACTTTTACAGTGTAATTTCTGCTCTAATAGATCACAATCATTCGAAAAACGTTAAGGCTAAAAAGAAAGTTCAAGTTCATTGGTCTGCTAGATTGAATAGGAATTCAACTTTATTTTAAAATCAAAATTGTATTTGATATATGGTTTAATATATTTGCTGCCCTATTTTTTCATTATTTTTAATAAGAGTGGACCTTAAAACAAGTCATCAACCTTTAATATATTTCCACTCTAGGTCATCAATTAAATTTATTTGTAACACAGCTTACCTTACTAAAGTTTTAATTCATTTCAGATTATTCTGTTAATTTTAGGCGTTAAATAGTGACGGAAATTCATTTTTCATATGTTTTTGGGTTTAGGGGTATTTTTGTCATTTTTTTAATCTTTTAATTTTTTTTTTTTACAATTCTTCTTCTTATACTTCCTAACTTTTATAAACTGATAGTATAATTCTAAATTTTAAAAATTTATTTTTCTTTTGTATTTTAACTTCTAGATTATAAATTTTTTAAAAAAAAATTTAAGAAATTAAGAAGAAAAATTCGAGATAAAGTAAACATGAAAATTAATAATTTACCATTTAAAAAAAAGAAAAATTAAAATAATTAGTTAAGACACGTTGTTTCTTCTAGGTTATTTAATTTTTTCCAACTGGATTGAATTATTTAAATATTAATTTTCACGTTTCTTATTCTTTTTTTTTTTTTAATAATCTACAAGTTAAGATACAAATGACAAATGAGTAGAAATATATTAAAGGTTGATGACTTGTTTTAAGATTCACTCTTTTAATAAAATTCGTTTTTGTTTAAAAAAAAATTAATATTACCACAAAAGAAAAAAATAGACAAAAGTTAATTAATAAAATTTGGGGAACTACATATATACACATTTTGAGAGATAAATCTTGACTCCAGGTATGTAATATTCACAAAATATAGATACTATCCATGAATTCTCTTGCCTTACGCGACCCTATAATTAACTTGTATACACTAAATTTAGAATATGATTCGCATTGCTATGAATTAAGAACTCCATCAACTATCTCTGGAAGGACCCGCATTTGATTTATCAATTGGCACTGATATTAGGGGGATAGTTAGAATCTTGAAAACTTAATTAAGCTTGGAAATTACTCCTACCTAGGCAACCGATATTAGGCATAGAAACCCCAAAGTCTTGGCATATATAGTACTCTTATTTATAATGATTAGTTCAAATTAATTTATACCTTATAATTACGATAAGAAGGAGTGATATGTTATTGGCTTAAGAGTAATATGTTCTTGACTTTGCAATTGCGTCAGCTATTATGTCATTTGTAATCTCAGAGAATTTTCCATTACCAGATTTTCTCACATGGCATACAGTTTGATATGTTTTCTCCACTCTGGATGCTCAGGGCAAATTATTGTTAAAAGCTAATGTGGGGTGTTTTTTTTTTTTCCAAGAAAAACATTATATGTATGATCGACAAACACAACATAAAAGAAAGACACCGGCGCACAAAAAACAAATGATCGGGTTGACCAATAATGCCAATAGGACAACTTAAGCCTAAATTTCCAACACTTAGTACTAAATTGATTCCTGGAGAATTGCCTTCCTACATTTCCAATTTGAGTACAGTACTTACATTCTCTATGCCAGCAATGCATATATTACCATCAAAGTTAGCAATTAGTTTAACCAAATAAGTTATCAAAATAGGATGGAAGAGGTATGTAGTGATCTTGGAGCGACAGTATCGATTTCACTAGTATAGGAAATTTATGATCAAAGAAAAATAGGCAGTATATGCCCCAAAATGAAATAATTGTGCACTTTCATCCAAGTCGAAAAGCACAAATACAACATTCCTTAATAACATATTGTTAACCGTTAATGACCACAAACAGAATGTAGAAATGACTAACAGGTCAAAATTATTAGTTGTAGCTAACCAATAATGATCAATATTAAAATAAAACACTAATGTGAAGAACCCTAGTTGGTTTTTTTTTTTTTTTTTTTGAGTTGGTATTAATGTACAAGCATATGCAGCAACCGGAAGAAAAGGGTCAACGAATTCACTAGAGAAAACCTCCACATTTTGCATATCAATTGATTATTCAATTATTCATCTGAGCATATAGACATTCTGCAAATTCACTAGAAAAAACCTCCAGATTTTGCACATTTTGGACGCATTTTGTCAAACAATTCAGTTCAAGTTTTTCGACCCCGAAAAGCCGAAAAGGAGCTCTAGATTGATCTCAAATCGATCATCCTTATGAAAGGCCTTTGTTTCACAAAAATAAAGAAAAAAAACGCGATGATATTTAAACTTTTGATTCCAAAGTTAAAATTACACCAACATTTATCACCCTACTCAACACTCTCACCCCTTGCATCTCATCATTAACACTGAGGATATAACTTCCACTAGTATATATATTTAAACTTGTTTTATTTCACACATTGAGAAAAACTGTATTACTCTATCTTTTCCTATGATCATGGAGATGACAATCTGCATTTATCCTACCATGGAAGAATGAGTTGTCTTCGATTTCCGGTATCTTTATGGTTCCCATATATCATGCTCAATGATCATCAAAAACAACAAGTCAAATCAGCCAACTAGTTTCTCTAATAGTATGTGTTGGACACCATTTATTTACGAACATTAGCTATGTAATTGCTCAATATAAAAAACCTTCCACCTCATTACCAAGCTTCTCATCCCAAAACAAACCAAAATCCTTCTCCTTCTCTTCCACGTCACTAAACACATTAAGCTAAAAATGGGTTCAAAGAGCATCAAATTTTTAGCTTTTTTGCTTCTCCTAAACCTTGTATTTTTCTCCCTTGTCAGTGCATGTGATGAATGCCCAAAGCCAAAGCCAAAGCCAAAGAAGCCTAAATGTCCTAAACCTTCTCCCAAACCTAAATCTCCTAAAACTAAATCCCCAAAGCCAGCTTCTCCTCCTCCTCCTCCTCCACCTGAATCTCCTAAAGCGACTTGCCCAATTACCCTAGATCTAAACCCATGTCTTGGGTTGCTTAATCTTGCTGGGATCATCAACATCGGATTATTTTCTGAAGCTCAATGTTGTCCGCTTCTTGATGATCTTGCTGACCCTGATGCTGCTGCTTGCCTTTGCAATGCCGTCAAGGTCAAAGTTCCTGGCATTATCAACTTAATTCTTCCAGTTAACATTAATCCGATCTTCGAGCGGTGTCACAGGACTTGCCCTGAGAAGTTCCAGTATTGCTCCTATTAGGACAATAATCAATTGAACCTTTTTGTTTTTCATCTTAAGAAGTTGTTTCTTCTTGATGTATGTTTTCCAATTTTTTCAAAACTTTCATGTTGATTTTTCCGTTTGACTATTTATTTTTTCCTACGTTTTGTTCCCCGGACCCTTTGAAATGTCCAAGCTTGATAAATCAAAGAACAGTTCGATTGTGATTAGATGATGGAGAGCATTTCTTCATGAACATTTTGAAGCCTTTTCTGAAGTTATGCATGCAGGCTGCAGGCAGTATAATCTATGAGTATTGGTTTGACTTTGCAACTTCAGTTACCAGCCAAGCGATTGCATATGTACGTTTATTAGGGTTTGGACTTTGGAGTACTTTTATGAATTATTTTGACCGAAGCCAAAGCCAAAGCCAAAGCCAAAGAAGCCTAAATGTCCCGTTTGATTATGTATTGTTCCCGTCCCCTTGACATATCCAAGCTTGGTTTAAGTGAAAAGCAAGAGTATTTCGAATGTGATTAAGAAAATGGTATCATTTTCCTGATGAACATTTTGAAGCCCGATTTAGATCGTATTCATGCAGATGCAGCCCGATTTATGTACAAGTATGAATGTATCTTTGGTTTTGCAAATTTAGACACCGGGTAACTGACAGAAATTGAGAAAACCCTTGTCGGGTTATTTTTCATTATCTGTATAAATTAGAAATGGTCCTTATATGAAAGGAAGCTACAAGAGTTATTAGACTATATTTACCGCAACTAACTAGTAATAGTAATACTACTAATTACATACATTAACACCCCCCTCAAGTAAGAGCATGCGGATTTCGAATGCCCAACTTGCCAAGGAAAAAATCAAACTCACGTTTCCCTAACGCTTTAGTAAGAATGCCAGCTAGCTGCACACGAATAAACACAAAACTGGGAGAGATAGTACCTTTAAGAGATTCATCACGCAGAAAATGACAATCTATTGAAATGTTTTTAGTTCGCTCGTGAAAAATAGGATTAGTAGCAATGTGAAGAGCTGCTTGGCTGTCGCAATAAAGCTGAATCGGCTGAAAATGAGAAACACCCAGACATAAAAGCAAAGACTTCAACCAAATCAACTCATAAGTAATAGAAGCCATGGAGCGATATTCAGCTTCAACAGAAGAACGAGCAACAATATGTTGTTTGTTGGTCTTCTAAGAAACAGGAGAATTACCCAACTGAATGAACTAACAAAAAAGAGAGCGGCGTGTCAATGGACAACCAGCCCAGAATAACTAGTAATCAACACCCTCAATAGCAGCAAACGTCTCCTTATAATCAATACCCTCAACTTGGTTATTGCCCAGAATAACCAATCGAGCTTTATATCTCTCAATGGAACCATCAGACTTATGTTTGATTTTGTACATCCACTTACAACCGACAGCCTTCTTTCTCGGAGGAAGTTGTACCACACTCCAAGTGTTGTTAGTCTCAAGAGCCTAGATCTCAAGTTGCATGGCAGCATACCATTGCTCATTCGCTATAGCTTCAGTAAAAGTATTAGGCTCAACATGGGCAGCTGTAGCTGCTAAAAAAATTTGATGTGCTGGCGAGAAAGAATTATTATTAACATGTTGAGCTATAGGATAGGGTGTACCTGAGGATGAAGATAAACCAGATGAACTAGCAGGGGGGCGAATAGTGTGATGAATAAAATCACGTAGACGAGTCGAAGAAAACTTAGAACGATGACCATGACCCAACAATTCTTCAGAAACTATAGGAGCTGGTGTAGGAGACCCCCCCCCTCCTGACGTTAGTGCTTCCAAGATCAGAAGATGGCACTTGATCAGGGGAAACTAGATCCAAGTGACGTTCAGCCGGAGAGACCGAACGAACAATCTCATCATCATCATCCTCCTTAATAATACGCCAACTTCCTAACTGATTTTCGAAAACATGTTTTAACTCACTTAAACTCGGCAGCATATAAGGAAATTCTGACTCATAAAATCTGATATCACGAGATACACGAAAAGTCTTAGAGTCAAGATCATAGACAGACCATCCTTTTTTACCAAACGGATACTCCAGAAAAACACATTCCCTACTACGAAGAGCGAACTTGTCTCCTTGATGATTTTTATTATGAACATAACATAAACAACCAAAATCCCTCAAATGAGCAAATTTGGAGTTTTGCCAAATAGTACCTCATATGGCGTTCGACCATTCAAAATAGCAGTAGGAGCCCAATTAATCAAATAACCAGCAGTCAAGACAAAATGACCCCAAAATTCAATAGGCAAATTAACTTGAAAACGTAAAGCAAGAGCAACATTAAGAATGTGTCGATGTTTACGTTCAACACGCCCATTTTGTTGTGGTATACCAACACAAGAGGTTTCATGAATAATACCATGCTCATGAAAATAACATTCAAAAATAGGAACTCAGTATCATTATCACTTCGAACTGTTTTGACCAACTTATCAAATTGGCATTCCACCAGGGCGAAAAAATTACGCAGGGTAACAAAAACAACAGTCTTATCAGGAAGCAAATAAATCCAAGTTTCTCTAGAGAAGTCATCCACTATAGTTAAAAAAATATCGCGGTTCACAGGAAGCAGAAACACTATAAGGACCCCACAAATCACAATGAATCAACTGAAAAGACTCAACAGTTTTATTTTCACTAGTCGGAAAACTATCTCTAGTATGTTTTGCACGCAAACAAATATCACATACTTTGTTGCAAAAATCACTAGAATCACTAGGCTTAACACGACATAATTTCTCAACCACCTTAAAAGACGGATGACCCAATCGTTTGTGCCACAGGTCCACTGATCCTTCAGCTTGCATTGGCGCCACCACTGCCTCAACAATGCTCCGAAAGAAGTAAAGCCCCCTAATTGTTCACATGATCCAATCACCATCCTCGAATTGAGTTCCTGTACAACACATGATTGCTGAGTAAAATAAGCACCACAGCCCAAGTTTCCCAACATTGAGACAAAGAAATTAAACTACATAATAAATTTGGAACATATAAAACATTAAACAAAATCGTACGCAGGCTAAGATGTACAGTGCGTGTTTGGGTAGCCATTGTCAATGTCCCATTTGGTAGCCACACTGGACAAGGTTCAATCTCACGAACATCAGCCAAATAATTAAAAAAACAGTCATGTGGTGAGTTGCACCTCAATCAAACATCTAATCATTCGGAAAATTACGATTACTAAATCTCTCGGTTTCAACATATCTTTCTGAATGTAACAAATTCACCAAACTATTCCATCTTTCCTGACTCAAGCCTGTAACAGCAGTTCCAGAAATATCAGCTCCACAAGAAATACCTCCGTCAAAACCAAATCTACTGTAGTCATTCATTGAACACATCTCACGCATCTTTTTCTTTTTCTTTTATTTTTCTTTTTTCTCGAACAAAATATGCCGAAAACACCAAAAAAAAAAAAAACTCCAAAATCAGCCACCAAAAAAATAAATAAAGAAACACAGCCAAATACCCACATACTGGCCGCACCAAAAATTCTCCAAGACCCACCAAAATCTGTTGGGCCCGGTGTTCCCCTCAATTGGGCTAACAAGGAAACAAATAAAACCAAGCTAAATTTGACTTTGGTTTTAGGAAACAAAACCCACTCCAATTGTGTTTTTGTTTTTAGGTTTTTTTGCTCTATAAAAGCAAGGCTTTGATATAATTTTTAGGTGTGTTTTCAGCCAAGAAGAGAAGAAAAGTTTAGGCAGCCATGCATTATTTTTGTACGAGAGAAAAAGAAAGAGAACTAGGGTTTAGTTTTCGGTTTAACTCTCTTTTGGTTAGATCCTTCCTGTCTTACTCTGTGATAGGTGTTTTGGAAGAGTATTGTTGTAATCAACCTTTGGGTGAAGCCCTGTGTATCCACCGATTGGTGAAGACTGTTTTTCTATTATTGTGATAGTGGAGATTTGACTGTTGTTACAGTCCCGTGATTTTTTCCGATTTGGGTTTTCACGTAAATTTGTGTGTCTACTTTACTGTATCAGTTCTTGAATTAGTTGCTTGTTTGGTTGGTTGTCCTATTTGATTGGTAGTAAGAAAGGAGTTTTTCTTGGGTTCGCTTCCGCAGTGTGTTGTGTTTATACCCTTTCCGCCACAACAGTGGCATCAGAACTACAGTTCGGTAGTTGAGGTGTTACACCAATAAAATGGAAGAGTCATCGGGTGCTGGTACGATGATTAAATTAACTTCATCCAATTATCATGTGTGGAAACCTAGAATGGAAGACTTGTTGTATTGCAAAGATTTGTTTGATCCTGTTATAGGGGATGAAGGTAGGCCAAGTGATATGACTGATAAAAAGTGGACTGATATGCACAGGAAGACTGTTGGTAATATTCGATAATGGATTGATCAAAATGTGTTTCATCACTTTTCGGGAGAAACAAAAACTAATGAACTTTGGGAGAAAATCCAGAATATGTACTGGAAGAAGTCCGGCATCAATAAGTCATCTGCACCAAACAGTTACCGTGTTGAGGTACAAAGATGGTGCTAGCATGAATGAGCACTTGAGTTTGTTTCAGGGTTTGTTGAACCAAGCTGTGAATGTAGGTTTAAAGTTGAATGATGAGGTGCAGGCTTTGTTATTGTTTAGTTCTCTTCCAGACAGTTGGTACACTTTGGTAGTGTCAATCAGTAATTCAACCCAGGATGGTGTCTTGACCTTGGATTAGGTCAAAGAGGCTTTGATGAATGAAGAAGTCAGAAGAAAAGATCAGAGTATTGAGTTTGAGTCGCAGGCTCTGGTGACAGAAAAGTCAGACATAAGAGGGAGAAGTAAAAGCAGAGAGCCACGTGATCGGAAGGACAAGTCCAGGGGACGGCCTAAATCCAAGAAAGATATCGTGTGCTACCATTGTCAAGGGAATGGGCACTTTAAAAGGGAGAGCAGGGTTCTCAAGAGAGAACTAGTAGCGAGAAAAGGTAAAGGCAAGAAGGATAAATCAAATGATGATGACACTACTGCAGTAGTAACTACCAGTGATGCATTTGTGTACTGTGATGATAATACAATTAATGTTGCAAGTCACGACAGTGATTGGTTCGGTGATTCAGGTGCATCTTATCATGTGACGCCTCACAGACACTTCTTTACCTCTTACACACCTGGAGATTTTGGTCGTGTAAGAATGGGCAACCAAGCCTCATGCGATGTTGTCGGCATGGGAGAGGTATCATTGGTAACGAATACATATTGTACTCTTGTCTTGAAGAATGTCAGACATGTTCCGGATATGCGTCCTGAACCTTATTTCTGTTGGTAAACTTGATGATGAGGGTTATCATAGCACTGAAGGTGGTGGCTGTTGGACAATTACCAGAGGGAATCTTGTTATTGCTAGAGGAAAGAAGTTGAACTCTTTGTATGTGTTGAATACAAAGTTGAAGAATGGAGAGGTGAATGCGACTCACAATGCCTCCATTGATCTCTGGCACAGAAGGGTTGGACACATGAGTGTTAAGGGGTTACAGATTCTTGGTAAGAAGCAATTTCTCCCATAGGTGAAAAGTACTGCTCTAGAACCTTGTGTTGACTGTATCTATGGTAAACAACATAGGGTTTCCTTTCAAAATTCTCCTCTATCTAGAAAGT